GGATAAGTGCTTGACCTCTCTGCGTCTCCCTGCCCTCACTTGTAAAGAGGGGATAATCCCAGCCCCAATTGTTATGAGGAAAGCAGGAGATAATGTGCTTGGCAGACGCTAAAAGCTAAATATTTTCTTTTTAATTTTTTTAATGTTTGTTTATTTTTGAGAGAGACAGAGTACAAATGGGGGAGGGGCAGAGAGAGACCGAATCTGAAGCAGGCTCCAGGCTCTGAGCTGTCAGCATTGGGTAAAAGCAAAGAATCTGAAGTTGGAACGTCCTGGGTTTAACCCCCAGTTTCTCTACTTATTCACCCTGCCCTTCCCTGTTACTTAACCTCTCTGAGTCTCCATTTCCTAATCTGTAAAATGGGACAACAGTGGCACTTACCTCTCAGGTTTTCCATGAGTACTCAAATCAGAAAATGTGCACGAAGAACCTAGCTGTGTGCCTCTTCCACCACGCCCACTGCTGACTTCCTGTTCTGTCTCTGCAGGTACAAGAAGAACATTAAGGCTCTGTACATCGTGCACCCCACCATGTTCATCAAGACCCTGCTCATCCTCTTTAAGCCCATCATTAGGTGAGCAGCTGATGGGGGAGAACAGTGACCTCCCCACACTTCCCTCTCAGCTCTGAAGCACATACCTGAGGAGGCCAAGAATCCTGGAGACAGACCATATTTGGGCTCGGCCTTTGCCCTTGGAGGGGCTGCCGAGGGGATGGTGGGGGCCTGCCAAAATGGGCCCTCCCCCACTGACCCATGCCCGTTATTTTGCCGGCAGTTTCAAGTTTGGGCAGAAGATCTTCTATGTGAATTACCTGAGTGAGCTGAGCGAGCATGTGAAGCTGGAGCAACTGGGGATCCCTCGCCAAGTGCTCAAGTAAGGCCTGGGCCGTGTGTGCCCGCCGGGCACGGGTGTGCCTGTGTGTCATGTTTGTGGGGTAGGACATGCCAGCCAAGGGCAGAAGAAGCCTTGAGAACCCCAGGAAGCAGAGGAAGTGAAGGTAATGAGTAAGAGACAGCATATGGGGTCAGAGAGTGTGAGGTCAGATCCCATTCCTGTCACTTAAAAAACTCTGTGACTGATTCTCTTCAGTCTCCACTCTGTCCTGTGTAGAGCAGGGCTCCTATGAGGACTGAATGAAGTGACCCACGTACAATAGCACAGGAAGTACCCAACACACAGGGTTGCCAATGTGACGACAAAGCCAAGTCGAGGGCCTGACCCTCCCCTCTGCTCTCCCAGGTATGATGACTTCCTCAAATCCACACAGAAGAGCCCTGCGACAGCCCCCAAGCCCATGCCACCACGGCCCCCTTTGCCCAACCAGCAGTTTGGGGTCTCGTTGCAGCAGTGAGTATGCAAAAGGTGGGCAGGCCTGGCACGTGGGGACCGGAAAGGGCTTACAGACCCAGCTCACTGCTCTTGTCCCCACAGCCTCCAGGAGAAGAACCCAGAGCAGGAGCCCATTCCGCTTGTGCTCCGGGAGACTGTTGCCTACCTGCAGGCTCACGGTGAGTGCCAAGGCCACTGGCCGCAGGACCTCCAGGACCTGCTTCTTCCCCTGCAGCCGAAACCGTAGGTCCCTCCTCAGCCCAGTCTCCCAGCTCCCCTTGGGGAGCATCAGCACCCACACTGACCCTCAATGGAACCCCAAGACAGAACAGGTCGAAGAGTCTGCACACTGCCCCAGAGCTGAGACTCACCAGGCCCCACTGTTTCCCAGCTCTCACTACTGAGGGGATTTTCCGGAGATCAGCCAACACTCAAGTTGTGCGGGAAGTACAGCAGAAGTACAACATGGGTGAGTGCTCTGGGGTGTGCCTGGGCCCGCAGTGGGAGGGGAGGAGGGGGGGAGATGGGGCACGGGTGTCACTGTTAGGGCACTTCTTTGCCTTCTGCTGCCTGGGAAGCAAGGGCCCTCCGTTCTGTTCCTGTCAGAGGTTTCTGTGGCATTTGGTAGGATTACATGGGTCCCACTCCTGCCTGGCTGTCCCAGGCCTGCTGCCTCATCGGTCAGGCTTCCGGGTCCTGGGTTTAGATTCAGAGATGAAGAAGAACTGTCATGTGTCATGTGTGCTGGGGGGGCCCCATTCAACCCGGTCTCCTCATCACAGAGGAGGAGGGGAAGGCCTGTGTGAAAGGGCTCTGTAGGAGGAGGGTGTTGTGCAGTGGCTGAGGGTGATCGGGCAATGATCTGCTCGGCCTCTGGATCGGCCGTCTGGATAGGCCGCCGGCCTCCGTGCTGGGCCCAGCTCCTTCTCCATCCCCACCCCCCAGGGCTGCCTGTGGACTTTGACCAGTACAATGATTTGCACCTGCCGGCGGTCATCCTCAAGACCTTCCTCCGGGAGCTTCCTGAGCCCTTGCTCACCTTTGACCTTTACCCCCACGTTGTGGGCTTCCTCAGTGAGTGCCCCTGTCTTCCCTCCCTAGTTCTGTGCTTATTCTGCTGGGTTGGGGTCAGGGCTGCACTCAGAGCAGGTAGATTTGGCCTGTCCTCCAAGGAAAGTCTGGTTGGGGTCTCCCTTCTGGCCTCATGTCGGCCCAGCCCCGGGCCACTGTGACCTAGGCCCCAATTCCTTGTAGACATTGATGAGAGCCAGAGAGTGGGGGCAACGCTGCAGGTGCTCCGGACGCTGCCTGAGGAGAACTACCAGGTGCTTCGTTTCCTCACTGCCTTCCTGGTGCAGGTGAGACCCGGCCTCAGCTTCTGCTGTTCACCTGGAGGGGCGCGGAGGCGGGGAGAGCTGCCACCCTTCCAGCTCTTGGGAATGGGAGGCAGGCTCTCTGGCTTCCTGCTGCAGCCCCCTGATTCCCTCCACAGATTTCTGCCCACTGTGACCAGAACAAGATGACCAACACTAACCTGGCTGTTGTCTTCGGCCCTAACCTGCTGTGGGCCAAGGATGCTGCCATCACCCTCAAGGCCATTAATCCCATCAACACGTTCACCAAGTTCCTTCTGGATCACCAAGGGGAATTGTTCCCCAGCCCTGACTCGGGAGGGCTCTGAGCCCTGCCCCACCACCCTTCCCAGCTTCGGCCTTATGAGTCTGGGGCTCCTGCCCAGGAAAGGGGCCATGAGGCCCTGGGAGCTGGAAGCTGGAGCCAGCCAGTTGGGCAGCTCTTCCTCCCCTTCTGTCCAGCCCACCTGGCCAGCCCTGGAGACCTCGCTGTAACCACGAGACATTTTTCTTCGCCTTATACTTCTCACTGCCTCCTTGAACCCCTGGCTCCTTGCCAGGCTCTGCAGATCTGGCGGCCTTTGGCTCTTCTAGTATGAAAAAGACTGGCCCCAGAAACTGCTTACCCACTTTCTCCTGCCTCTCTTTTCCTGGCAATTGCAGATGCCTCAATCACTGCCGGCTGGGCTGGTAGCTGGGGCTGATCCTCCCTTTCCTGGCTGCTGGGGAATAAGAGGCCATGCTGGCTTGGGCCTGCCTGCTGAGGCATCTCCCTGGGTGAAGGCCTTGTGTGCCAGCACCTGCTCCTGTCCTCTCCTCTAATGGTTCAGCCTTGTGTTTTTACACAGCTAAGGAGGGGCAAGGCTGGGGTCTGCTTCCTGTTTCTGCCTCCTTCTCGTCCTCACATCCTGGGTCAGGCTTTCTGAAGTGATACTGCCCCCAGGGTGTTCTAGCCCCCTGTTCTGGCAGCTTGGATGACAGGGCTGAGTCCCAGCATCCATTTGAAATATACACCCCATTCCCACCCCAAAGCCTCTTGGCGGTCTGGTTGGGCCAGGGACAAGCAGTCTCATCCCCCCTGCCCCATGCCTTGCCTCTTCTCTCTACCTACTTGGACAGATCCTCAGTATAGGGCTCTTGTGGACAGGTCTGTTGTGGAGTCACACTGGTCCCTGCTCTGGCCAGAAGTGACTCAGTGCCTCAGGATCTGTGGGTAGGGACTCCCGGAGGGGCTGAGCAGAGACTTTGCCAATTAGATCAGTCCCTGCCAGGGGAGTTCTAGCAACCTCCCCCAGGGACTGCAAGCCCCAGGGCCCTGTCATCTTTCAGAAAATATGGACCCGAATGATTGGTACTTCTCATTCCAACTGTGTCCCTTAGAATGATACTCCTTCCTGGTGAACCCTGGGGACCCCACTTCCTGCAGCCTTGTCCCCTGGCAGCAGGATACTAGATGCACAGTGGCCCTGCCCCCACAGCCTTGGCCAGAGCCTGTACTGGGGTGGGGGGGGGGGGGCCTTATTGACCAGCCCAGCCCCATCTGTGAGGGGGGTGCAGCCTGAGCCCTGACCTCGCTGGGCTCTCTCCTCATGATGCTAGCATGTCAGGACTCCCGGGGCCTGGAGTGGCTGCTGGTTCCCTGACAGTCCCTGCATCTCTAGCCCAAGCCAGGGCTTCCGCTTTCTGCCCTCCTGTGTAGATCAGGTGTTGCTCACAGCCCCATTTACTGGGGAGCCTCGTGGATCTCTTTGGTCTTTCTCCTGTCCCCTGTCCCACTGGTCTGTACCTGCGGGGAAAAGGGGGGGAGGCGGGAGTACTGTGAATCAAGTGTTCACATTCACTTAATGACTTCCTTGGCACCAATCATGTATTTCACCTTTGCACTTTTTGTATTTCAATAAAAAAGGAGATGGAAAACTACCCACCTGAATGTTAGGAAGTAGGCCTGGAGTCTCAGAAAGGGGTGGGAAGCGTGGTGTGGTTGTGGAAGATGAGCAGGTGGGGCCTCAGGAAGTCACCTCCCCAGTCCATCTGACCCCTTCCTTCCTTCCTTGTCTTGTTCCTTGGGGAGTGGGTGTGAAGCCAGCTTTCTGACATCTTCCAGGCTTGGACGTGTGAATGGTCACTCTCCATGTTGTAAGTGTGCACCATTCCAACTGGCCACCAAGTGCTGTATCCTATGACCAAGACCTCTTCTGTCCCCAGAATGGAGGGGACCGTGGTGAAAGCAGTGTGGGCTTTAGAATCAGACCTGGTCTTGAGTCCTAGTCCCATCACCCCTCCCACCAGCTCCAAATGGTAACAGCCATATGATCAGCCCACATGAGACTGTCTCCTTATTTCTCTAAGGATCAGAAATGATGCACACAGGATGTAACAGTGAGTGCTCAGTGGTGATCAGAATGACCGTCATTTCACAAAGGAATGAGATGGTCCCAATTTTGTGGAGCAGCTGGGATTGGAAACCTCATGTGACCATTTGCTTCTCTTGGCCCTCCTGTTGGCCTGAAAGACTTGGCTCTTTCCACCTGCCACCCAATCCTATAGAGGCTAGGAAATATCCAGTTTTCCCTTCCTCTCCTGAGCAGGTTTTGCTGTGCTTTTAAAGATTAAGATGGTAAAATTTAAGTTATGTGTATTTTACCACAAGTTAAAGATAATGGTTTGTCACTTGGAGGGCAGATCAGAATTTCACTTGGCATGATGGTCAAGGTCAAGTTCCACCTGTCTGCTGCCTGCCTATTAATTGCAATCAGGTTATGGTGGCCTCAGCTGAGCCTGTTCTTTTTTCTCCTCGTTGCCTGCTCTGGCTGGGGGAGCCAGGGCAGAACTGCAGGATCAAGCTGTGGTGTTAAGATGCTGGTTAAAAACACAGGCACCGAGCTGCAGGAAGCTAGTCCCATTGCACAACTGGCCCTCACCCAGTTAGTCCAACGGAAGGCACTGGCAGCCTCTCTCACTGGCTCTGTTCAGCTCTATGCTGGGTGACTGTTTGGAACAGAGGGACAGTATCCTAGGGAAACTATGAGAGGGGAGCCAGAGACCAAGAGAGTTGTTCACTTGGGCTGGGCTCCTGGCAGGGCCTCTGGGTGACGCAAAAGCCAGTTTACTGCTGCCTTGGCAACAGCAGGTCTCTGGGGGCAGGGTGTAGGGAGATGCTTTAAAGGGGTAGGACACCATCATGAGACATGGGGCAACTGAACACTTTTAGTTTGCTTTTGGGGGGGATCCCAACTGAAGGTAAAGACACTAGGGACAGCCTTTTCACCATTTCTGATGTGGGTTCGGTGACTGTCCCAACTGGCTGCACAGTCAGGTATCATGGCGAGTATCATGTGCAGTTAACTAACAAGCTAGGGCTCCGAGGGCCCATAACGATGGCAGTGGGCAGCCTCATTCTTTTCAGCCATAGGTTTGCGCTAAATTTAGAATCTGCTAACCATTTACTGCCCTGGCTTCAGCCTGAAGGGTGTAGGGAGGCAACCCACACAACAGTTGCCTAGGTCTGTCAGGCAGTTAGTCCCTTGCTTCTAGAACCATTTCTGCCTCTGCGATACTGGCTCTACCTCTCGCTCCCATCCCCCAGTGCAGTCACAAGTCAGGAGGCAGGAGCCAGCTTTACCAGGGCTGAGATGTGTGCTACAGAAGCACACAGGGGGCCAGGCAGGAATAATGTCCGCGGGGTTCTTCTACTTGTCATGGCTCCTTAGAGACCACAACAGGGCCTCGCTCAAGCTGTCAGATCGGAGCAGCTCAACAAACTTGACGGGCCCTTGACTTCCCTATATTTCATTCAACCCCTTCCCCTGTCTGGTTTGCTCAGCCACAACTCCTCCTAGATCAGCAAACAGATACTGGGCAGCTTGGGAAGCCCCACATTCCCTGTCTGCTTCCACTGGAAACATGGCGGAGACCTGCCAGCTGTTTCTCACTCTGAGCCTCCAGGCTGAGTGCTGGGCTGCGCTGGGCTGTGTAGGGGGCAAGAAAGAGCTGATGATGATGCCATGGCCACACTTCATATGCATGTCAACTTCATGCACGTTACCTCACTGACTATTCACAGATAAGCCCTCAAAATGGGAACAGTACAGCCAAGGAAAATGAGACTCCAAGCAGTTTCCTGATTGGCCCCAAGGTTGCACAGCTGCTTGGTGGCCAAGCCCCAAGACAAAACAGCCTGCCTGACTCCAAAGCCACTCTGCACTTCATATCTACTGCTCTTCCCCCACTTCCATGGAGGGGGCCCGTCAGGGACCAGGATCCTCACAGAAGTGGGATGGGGTGGGTTATCTTTTTACAAAACTTGTAGGACAGGAGGCTGTAAAGTACAGAAAAAATTTATTGGAAATTTCTTGAATACATTTTAAAGTATAGCTCAATATTTCCAAACAAGGTGGGATGGAGGCGGGGGAGGGACTCTGTCACCTGGAGATGAGTGACGGGTCCCAGCCCTGTCCCAGGGGGTGCTGCAGGAGTCAGTCTAGGGCTCATCCCTGTCACTGTATGGGGCTGAGGGGCAAGGTCCAGCCTTGACAGTTGCTCTGCTCCTCCCAGGCTCAGCTCAGGTCTCAGCTTCCCTGGCCTTTCACTGATGGGGGTCCTAAAGGAAAGGCTGCTGCCTGCAAAGGCCAACAATTAGGAGCCAAAGAGGAAAACAGCTAACAGGCCGTTCAGTGCTCAGCCTCAGGAGGAGGACAGTGGCTGAGACATTGTGGCAGGATGGGGCTGAGGGCATGGGCAATCGATAGCTTACCAGGGCTTCACCCTTCTCAGCACTGGGGCCTTGGGAGTAAGTCTGGATTGGTTTAGCAGGCCATGGGTGCACACTGGCCCAGAGAGGAGGGCCATTTGTACACCACTGCTGGGAACATTTCTTTGTGGCAGCAGAATGCATGCAACAGGGGCAGAAGGGCTCCAACTGCCTGAGACGGCATCAGAGCCCACTCCAGCCCTCAGAGCTCAGTCTTGTAGGTGGGACCAGTGTCACATGCATTTACTAACAAGCAGTTAAGGACCACCTGCTCCATTGCAGAACAGCTGCTGCCAATGAATAGCCCAGGTGGGCCAGGAGGAAAGGGGTGGGCCTTGTTTTCCTTGGCCAGGACTGCCAGTTAGGCTGGGAGAAGGACAGATGGTAGGTGGGTGAGGCTAGGCACTTGACTTACTCAAGTAACGATACCTAAAAGGTTAAGTCAATCATATGCCTAGCTTTGGTTTCTCAACAAGGAACCAATCCAGCCAGGAAACCTCAGGGTGGTGTGCAGACCCTGGGATTAAAGAAAGGTGGTGGCCAGGCCCAGGAGGAAGGAGGAAAAGGCCCATAACCCAGCCCTGAGAAACAGGAACAAGTGCCCCCAGAAGGAGGGGCCCCTCCAGCCTTCCCCATGGCCACAGCGGGGCACATACAATGCACTGTATGTGCATGGTACAACTCTGGCGAGTTGTACACACAGAGTTGTACACATTTAGCACCCAAGATTTCCTGGGCTGCCAGAATGGAGTCAGTTACTCTGCAGAAACTGGGAGAGATTCAAGACTCTCACCAGGCATATGTAGGAGTCAAAGGTAAAGCCTGTCGTCAGTTCAAGTGCAGCAATTCTGGGAGGTTCTGTCGCCCCCAGCCAGTCCTATTCTTGGATCCCACCTTGTGTAAATAGGAAGTAAGACCCTCACAGCAGCAACCCAGAACCTGAGGAACCTCCACAGGAGGAGGCCCTACTCCAGGAAGAGGCCCTCCACCTTCCCCAAGTGAAAACATCCTAACCTCAAACATATTTTCTCTATAAAATATCTGATTTCTCTGAAAGTAATAAATATTTACCATGTTTTTTAACCAAGGAGCAGCAACAGGGGGGAAAAGGAGAGAAAAACTTTTGCTGTGACTCCCAATGACAGAATCCTGGAGACGCAAGATTCTTGTTTCCATGGAGCTGAGGAGCTGCACAGGCAGCCACCAGGGCTGCTCGACCCTCTGCTGAGGGATGGGCTAGCACAACCCTCAAGGGTGGGAATGGCTGACTTTGGAGTTCTCACCACCTTGGGCAGGAGGCCTGTCATATTGCCAAAAGTACAGGCACAGGGGCGGAGAGAGGGAGAGAAGACACCAAACCAAAAAGGACGAAAAAAAAAAAAAAAAAAAAAAAAAAAAAAGAAAGAAAAGAAAAAAAGAGCCTGAAGGAGGCCTTCCTTCTTCCTCCCGGTACTGTCTCCTTCTTCTTTCTGCCTCCACACCAGGCTCTGGGCCACCAGTTGGAATGTCAAGTGGTTGACAGTAACGGCAGGTGGACAAGGGGCCAGCTGCAGGGTGGACCCAGGGCAAGGGGTGGGCAGGAAGAATGGGATGACAGCCTTTGTGAAGCAGTTGCTGATGGGCGGTGTAAGCAGACGACTCCAAGGGCCCTTTTGTTAAAAAGCATCTTCCAATCTTCAAGACCAGGGGGTGAGTCCTCTCAAATGCTATCACTGGGCTTGACTGCCGCCATGGAGTCTCCAGGAGGTGCAAGAACAGAGACTTCTGGGTCCCCATGGGGGAAACCAGCCTTTCCTCCACCTGGAGCAAGATGAGGGATGGGAGCAGCTGATGAGAGGGAGGCTCTGGCTCCTGGGACCACAAAAAGGGGATGCTGCTGGTACTTGAGGACACCAACTTTTACTGCAGAGTTTCTACAAAGGCATCAAATTCTCGGACATTCTTCTCGTGCACAGCCAGCTTCTCTGGTAGTGAGTCCTGTACCGGGAGGGGAGAGAAGAGCTGCTTACTCAGGTAGGGTCTTGAAGAGGCAGCTAGCCCAGGCACCTGAGCTGAAGACAGGGGTGCAGCACAGAGCTCGGCTCAGCAGTGCTGGCTGGTAGAGCAGGAGATGCAGGACAGTGGGGCAGGCACTGGACAGAGGGCTTGTGTCCAGCAGGGTTTGTGGGGGGTCAGGGGCTTTAGCAGAACAGTCTAGAGAGTGCAAGCAGGCCACACACTAAATGAGCTAGAAAAGGACCATGCCAACAACAGGATGACACAGAGAAATAGACGTGAAGTATCTTTGGCACAGATTAGACTAATACCAGAATAAAACAGTAGGCTTAGCATGCTACAGATTGAAGCTTACAAGAGGTTTCTTCGTGGCCTGAGCTGGGCACCAGAATCCTCTGGGGGCACATGAACAAGGTAGTCCCAATCAGGCTCCCAAGAGATTCTGACTCAGCAGGTCTGTGGTGAGGCCTATGAATCTGTATCTTTACATCAGTTGAGGAAGGGGTGAGTTAGAGAGTTGAGAGAAAACAGTAACAGGAGAAGAAAACAGAACCTGAGGAGTTAAGTTTAACTGCCCTCCAGTATCAAGTATTAATAAAAATTTGACCCTAATCAGGTGCTCTGTCTCCACTGATGAATTTGCATCTGAAGATCGGAATCATCACAGACAGGAGATTTCCTGGCAGGCATGAGGTGCGGTTAAAAGCTTAACATTAGGAGCGCCTGGGTGGCTCAGTTGGTTAAGCGTCTAACTTTGGCTCAGGTCACGCTCTCACGGTTCGTGAGTTTGAGACCCTCGTCGGGCTTGCTGCTGTCAACACAACACATTCCCACCTCAGGCAGAGGGACCCTGACATCTTGTGGCATTACAGTAAGCGGCTAGTTAGGTTTTAACAGGAAACCTGGACACCAGCAAAGGGAGAGTGAGAGACAGCTAGAGGGAGAGTCAGAGGCCTATCCTGGCTGGCAGCATTCCAAAAACAGTCACAAGAAGCCAGGTCAAACCAGACAGGCCAAATACAAAGAAGGCCAGAGCCCCTGGCCAAGGGAGAAAAGATATAAAACCCTGCTCCCAAAGACATCCTCTTTCCAAGTAATAAGTATTCCATCCCTGGTTAACAGCTGTAAGATTAGAGACTCAGGGGTGCCTGGGTGGCTCAGGTGGTTAAACATCTGACTCTTGATCTCAGCTCAGGTCTTGATCTCCAGGGAATGAGTTCAAGCTCTGTGTTGGGCTCTGCACTGGGCCTGAAGCCTACTTTAAAAAAAAAAAAAAAAAAAGGGGGCGCCTGGGTGGCTCTGTCAGTTGAGTGTCCGACTTCAGCTCAGGTCACGATCTCGCGGTCCGTGAGTTCGAGCCCCGCATCAGGCTCTGGGCTGATGGCTCAGAGCCTGGAGCCTGTTTCCGATTCTGTGTCTCCCTCTCTCTCTGCCCCTCCCCAGTTCATGCTCTGTCTCTCTCTGTCCCAAAAATAAATAAACATTAAAAAAAAAAAAAAAAAATCTAGAGACCCAAACCCTGGAGTGCACAGCTCTCCTTTGAACTCGCTCATTCTCACATCTGGAGAGTGTCCTCCAATAAATTCTTCACTTACACTGCTCAACCACTGTGTCTGGTCCATCTTTGAATTCTTTTCTTGCAACAAGACTAAGAGCCTCCAGCGACATCCCAGTGACTCAGTGGAGTCAGGCTCGGTGGAGGCGTCAGGGGCCAGGGGTCTCCCTAGTCCACTGGCAACAGTGGCATAGGGCACCGAGGCATGCCTCTGCCCTTTCGGACACAGGAAATACACAAAGCAGAGATGTGGTAATTACAGCCAGTATCAGGACATCTGGCTAAACACAAGAACCACTAGCTGAGTCAGGAAGGAGCTCTCCGAGGAAAGGGTAAGAACACCAATACTCAGGACCTTGCGTTTCTTCTGCCTGACAAGCTGAACAGCCAAATGCAAGAGCTACTGGAGCCACGTGGCTTAGTGGCAGCAGCAAGCAGAAGACATCAGGCACCGAAAGGCAGGCATGTGTAAGTAATGCTGCGCATGCACAGAAGAGGAGGAAGTCAGCGCAAGCAAGTTCAACATAATGACTGCCAGACACAATGCAAATCTCAAGTGTGATCAACAGAACATAATGATCTAAAGTGTCTCTTTCCTGTTACATAGAGGATGGGAGGTGTGGGAGTGGGGGGAGTAACACGAAGAAACTTCTAGGCTTTTGGAGCAGGAATGGCCATCAAAAGAGGAGAGGAGGTCAGATTCAGGTACGGCAGGGGAAGGAGTTTTCATACCAAGTCCTCAGCCATGGACTGTGCCCCGATATCTATGGAGAGGCTGCTCAGCTGAGGGGGATTTTGAAATTCACGATAGAAGGTCCCCAAATCCATCGGAAGAATGTCATCTTTAGAAAAAGCCGGTTTCTTCGAAAACAAGACAGACTCAGTTTAGCTTGTCTTAGATCACAAAGGAAACTCAGGGGAGAGAAGCTCTGAATGACCCTCTTCCCTTCCAGTAATCATCAAAGAAACGGTTCCTCCAGGCTCATCTTTGGAAGAGGAATCGTTATACCCTTCTCTTCTGGGCAGCTGAAACCTACCTCTGGTGATAACACCCCTCTCCCCTGGTTTATGTCCCCTTCCCTTAAATTCCTTTCCTTAGCAAAAGGCCATCTAATCAGGCAGGAATAGGACCTACAGGGATACGCCTGGCAAATCCCCATTTAGAGTTGAATTTCAACCAATAACATGGCACAAAACGCCTTCTTGTTCATGGACCTTCAAATGTGTCCCCAAGCAGGATATGAGGGCAGCTTCCCCATATGAACTGCACAGCCAAGTGCCCACCTGTCCCATCCCCACTGTCTATACCAGGCCATCTGATCCCTGTGAAGGATGTCCTGTCCAAGGGCCCTGGATGCTTCTAGGTTTATCTACCCTATGGCAGCAAAGGTCAAGAAAGGTGATGGTAACTTACGAAGTCGATCATAACAAAGTCATCGTGGGTATTGCCACTGCTACCCCCACTGGAGCCATCAGAGTGCAGGCTGCCCTGGAGAGGAGATTCAGTCTCTGGGGAATCTGGAGGATTCACCTGTTTCAGAATAAGGTGGAGGTAGGGGCTGGTTCCATGCACAGGTGCAAGTTGTTGTTAATAATCAAGGGTTTTGTAAGAGACCCAACAATGGCTGAAAATGTGTTAAGACCAAGAGCATGGCTGGCTGATGGTCTGTGGAGGAACAGTAACTCACCCAGGAAGATGATAAGCACAACACCATCTTACCATCAAAGGGGGACTCACCATGGGATCGGCATCCTCCAACTCCAAATTCTTGGGAGCAAACATGGCAAAGGGTATGTCCAAACTGGTCAGGGTCACCTGAAGAGACAGAAACGTTACTGCCCATCCCTGCCCCAGCCTACAGGCTTCCTCAGAGGCAGCCAGAAGCCTGCACATTCAGTAGATTAGCACACCCACGCTGACCATGCTGATCTCAGGTTCCTGTCGGAGAACCCCAAATCTCCTCTGCCTCCCACCATACACCCACAGCACAAACAGGGGTAGGATTCCCCAAGACCCCAGGAAGCAACTTTGAAAGCCTGACCCACAGTGACTCAGTAACAACCAACGGTTGTGCACTGGCAGAGCTGGGGTGGAACTTCCTATTTTGAGTAAGGCTGAGGCACTGACACTTCAGTGCAATGTGTCTGTACCAAATGGTGCCTAGTCTCCTTCTCCTTTGGGAGGCTTAAAAGATCACAGAACAACAGCTCTGAACTTCTCCTGGAGGGGTGTCACAGGTTATTAACCCTCTTCACATAAAATTCACACACACACACAATTTTAGGGGTCACACAGACCCCAGGTTAAGAGCCCTGCCCCTAAGAGCTCAAACATTTTCACAGGTGGCAGTGTCAGAAAAATCACCTGGTTGATGGGCTTGTTGACAAAAGCTCCCACTTTTCGGACAAAGATGGTTTCCAAGACATCATGGGGGGAAGCCCGGCCCTCACTGCTGTTTGATACAGTTTCAGTATCCTCGCTGGAGAAGAAAGATAGTGTTGTTACTCTGGCACAGCAGAGCCTACTTGGCTCCCCATAAACCCACCGTCCAGCATAGGACCGGCCACTGGCCCACCAACATGGGAAATGGCAAGGAGCTCAAGGTGGGGAGGAGAACTGTGCAGTCTAAGCGGACTCTTGGACACCAGCCAGCAAGGAAGACCAGCACTGAGGAAAGGCCTGAGCTTTGATGACCAACATTAAGAACCCCTCACCTTACAGAGATAGGTTCCTCTATCTCTAGCTATCCCAGACATGCCCCAGGAGTCAAGGCTCAGAAAACTAGAGTGTAAAATGACTACCAGGATCTTCCTTTGATTATCTGTCAGGGGGAGGGATAAAAGGATGGAAGTTTGGGAAACCAGGAATGAAAGTATTTTTCCTGATGGTGGCACAAAAATATCTTCTCAAATAATTTCCCTCCCACTGCTCCACTGTGGGAATGAACAAAATTTTTTTTCTATTATCCCAAAGTTCATTTAGGATGCAGTGGGGCAATCCACATCATCATCTCTGGGGCCTTGTGGTCAAGGGAGGGCAGGGCAGGACAGCCTCATCTTCCCACGGGAGAGCTCGGAGTGTAGGAACAAGGAGCTCAGCTTGCGCCCAGCCATTTTGTGAGCTAAGTGCTCTTTGGCAAATTACTTAACCCTCTGAGATCCTCTCATCTTTGAAAGAGCAGTAACAGTGGTGATTTGTGCAGAGTGGGATTATGAAAACTTTCATGTTCTACCTAACCAATGTCTCCTTAATTTGAAATCTATAGAATTAATCACTTCTGTGATCAGAAAAGACAAACATTTTAAGAAAATTTTAATGAGGAAAGCAGTTATTTCTAAAGAATCTCCAGGAGATACTAACATAGCAGACAGAAAAAAAAAAAAAAAAAATCAATCCTAACTACCACCATAGATACAGTATGGCCCCAAACGTCAGGATTATAGCAAACACCCTGCTCTGGTCCTCAGGAAACACTGAAGGTGGACCCCAAGGGAATAAATCTTGGGGTAAAATAAAAAACATATCTGAAAGGTCCCTTCAGTGGATGAAGGTGCTAAGAACTAGGCCCCTGTTGTTGGCTGTAACAGCAAACCCAGGGCAGCTTCCTTACATACCAGCTGCAATATGTTGAGAACTTTAAGAGTTCCACATTTGGGGCATAAATGTCAAGCCCGAGGCAATGGTGAAAGCTACTCTTACTGACAACGGATAAGCACGTGTGTTGGGGGGATGGGCCCCTGCTGACCTGAGCAATCAACACGTGAACCCACCTGCTGGAAGGTGTGGCAGCACAGCGGGCCCCATCAGAAGGGGTGTAGGTCGCCAATCTCTCCTGGTCGGCCTGAGCACCGTGTGCAGGCTGGTTGGGAGCGAGGGGTACCCCACCTTCCTTCCCAGGAACCATGAGCTTTGGGGGGAAATGGAAAAATACAGCGAATAATGGCAGTGTCAGGCAGAAGGGGATCCAGTCCTAGCATCATGGTAGCTGCTTTTGAGCTTTTCCACCACCAATGCTGCCACCAAGTGGGCGGGAAACCTTGGATCTGTGTCCTCTCTGGGACTCCGCTAAGGGGAGACATGCATGGTAAGGAGTACAGAGGAAAGGAAAGAGAGGGAGAAAACACTAGAAGCCCTTCTTTCCTTTCGGAACTCTCGGAGGTCCTTCATCTCGGAGTCACCTCTGGTCCTCTAAAGTTACAGACGAGTTTTGCTTCAGAGCACTTAGAATAACACTGGGGTCTCAAGAGGCCCCTCAACTGCCTCAGGGCAGGGGAGGTAGCACAGGAACCCCCAGGGTCTTCCCCATCTTGAAAAATACCTGGTGAGGGTGTGTGGCGTTTAAGCCAGCAGCAAACACTACTGGGTAAGCCAGGTCAGCTGATCCAACGCCCAGGGCAGCAGGCTGATAGGAAAGGCGAGAGCTTGAGAGCTAAGCAAGAGAAAAAACAAAGAGGGGCAGAGGAAAGGAGGAGGAAAAACGAGGCAATCCTAGAGTATGACTAATGATGAAGATCATGGAGAAGTAAGGAATAGATCCCAGCCCACATCCTCACAGTGCAGGGGGCCTGACATAAGGGTTAAAGATAGACCAGGCCATCACTTTTTAGCTAAGAAAACAGACTTATTTGCAGTGGGATTGAGATTCCCGGGCCTGCAGCCTTTCAAAGGCCTCAAATGAGTTCCCTGCTCCCTTTTCCCAGGGACTCAGCTGTTTAGTAGGTTTCCGGCCCAGCAGATTGTGGAATATGAGCCCAGGCAGAACCTGCAGCCAGTCATTGGTTTCTCCCAGGTCATTCTATTTTCTCCTTTGTCCTTGAGGTCCCTTTGAAACAGAAGGCATCTTCTCTAATCACACCCTCTATCACCCCTCGGAATGGGAGGGTTCCTATTTATATTGAAAAAGAAAGAATGACACTCTTGGATTGTTTATTTGGAAATAAGATATAAATAACTCCATGTATTTTTTACATCAATGGCAGAGGATGGGCAAACGAGAAATCCTATTTTGGGCTGCTGTGCTATGGCTGCGTCCTGTTAAGAATCAATTACCAAGCCTCAAATAACCCCCAGAACACTTGGGGACTTTTACATAACTATACCCTGTACTTTATTTATAATTTTTAAATAAAAAGATGCCGAGGCACCTGGGTGGCTCAGTCGGTTAAGCATCTGACGTTGGCTCAGGTCATGATCTCACGATTTGTGAGTTCAGGCCCCGTGTCAGGCTCTGTGCTGACAGCTCAGAGCCTGGAGCCTGCTTCAGATTCTGTGTCTCCCTCTCTCTCTCTGTCCCTCCCCCGCTCGCGCTCACTCTCTCTGTCAAAAATAAATACACATTAAAATTTTTTTCAAATAAAAAGATGCCATCTGATTATATCCCCTTCTCCCAGTATGGACTCACTTGATGGGAAAAGGCCAGTCCTGCCATGGGGACCCTCAGAGTGTCCGTCACCACAGGAGTAGGGGTCTGAAAATGTGCCTTTGTGACAGTAAACACACACTGTGCACAGATACACACAGAGACAGGAGAAACAAAAAGAAAAAAGAAAAGGGACTTGAGAAAGAAGTGAAAAAAACTCCAGAAGGGGCGGCAGCAACAGGGGCTGAAATGCACACTGGAAGTCAGGAATGAAGTGGGGAGAAAGCTGCATGGATGCCTTCCTAAAAGGGCAGCCTGGAAGGGTCTGAAGAAGAGACATTTGTCCCAAGGGGCTCCACTGCATGCTTGTCTCCTTGATGAGCAGGTGGAAAACAAAGTTGAGTCAAGCTGGTTTGACTTGGCAAAACAGGGAAACCTGCACCAAGCATTAGTGTGTCCTTAGTCAAAAGCAGGTGGAAGGGTGTTAGAGTGGTCTCCAGCAGGAAGGGCCCAAGAGCAGGTGCAAGGCGTGCTGAGGATGAATGAAGATGTTGAGGTTACAATGCTAGACTGAAGGCCTTTTGCTGGGGACCCAGAATCTGCAGGGGCAGGTTGAAACAACTGACATTTGTTGGCTGGAACTTGAAGATGCTCAGGAACCCACCTGCATACTTTACTATACCATCCCAGGCAGGATAAAGGGGTGTGTACAGGTGTAGGCGTGTGTGTGTGTGTGTGTGTGTGTGTGTGTGTGTGTGTGTGTGTGTGTGTGTGTGTGTGTGTGTGTGTGTGTGTGTGTGTGTTTTACAGCCCCAGATGGTGAAGGACAACTTGATGCAGTAAAAGCTGGAGCACTTTCAAAACTCTTAGATTTCAAAGCTAATTATGATTATTTCGGGTCTTGCTGTTCCATGTCTTACCAATTAGCTAGTCAGTGCTTAGAACTGGAGGTTGGACCTGAAATCACAGTAGCAGGTTCAGGGTCACAACTATTTCTTGACTCAACTCTGTGCCCACATGACACAATGGTCCTTATTTTGTGGGGAAAACAAACACCACATTAACATGCATTTACTGGACTCTAGCGAAAAGCTAGAAGTTGTTGAACAATGACGCAATTCCCTAGGCTAAATCAAGGAAGAAACCATTTCAACGCTTACAGGAATGAGACCTGCTGGCAAAGGATTTTCTCTCTCTGTTCTACCATTAAGGTTCAAAATGAATACTGCTGCACCAAACCGTACCAGCCTTGACTAGAGGTACTCAGAAGGTAGTGACAGGGCTCACCCATGGGATGCTCAGTGTTGATAAGAACTTGGCATGATCTACTTTCAAACTGTGACAAGACACAGCAGGCAACTGATACCATGAGAAAGATAGGCTCCTCTTACGTAGGTCAACCAACCGTGCAAACACGAGATCAGGAACTACTTAACTTCCCCTTACTTTTGGGGTCGGGTCAAATTTCCACTGTATCCAAGAAAGACAAACTGATTTGTTAAGACCCAACCTCACCATCTTATCTCCCAAGTCACAATTTCATTTACTGTTTATGAATTTATCACTTGTACAATAAAACTTCAATGAACACCAAACTTGACATATTCACATTTTGATTATCTAAAAAATAATCTACTTCCATTAATGTGCTCTAGTGGGCCTTCCCCTCTTTTGTGGTCTGTATTGCTCTATGTCAGTAAGTGTTCCAGAAGCTACCCTCTCCCAGAGCAAAGGTGACACTCATGCCTACATACATTTATGGGGGAGGGGGAAGGGAATAACAGTTCTCACCCCCCCAAACTTAACTGTCTAGGCAGCTTTACAAGAACCTCCTTAGCTCTAAATTGGAACAGCAGAAATAGTAGTGACCCATGGATTTCATAATTTCCTTTACAAAAGGCATTAATCTAGCTTTTGTGTCTAACTTCTGCTTTTGAAACAGATCAGAACCATAATTTTAATCCAGTATCTCCTAAAAACTTAGAATGAAATAAATTTAAATATTTTCTTTCTTTTTTTTTTTTTTTGAGAGAGAGAGAGACAGGGCGAGCAGAGGAGGGGCAGGGGGAGGGACAGAATCTTAAGCAGGTTCCACACCTAGTGCTTCTAAATATTTTAATTAAAAAACACAGGGGGTCCCTGAGTGGCTCAGTCAGTTAAGCATCTGACTTCAGTTCAGGTCACTATCTCACGGTTTCTGAGTTCAAGCTTCACATCAGGCTATATGCTGTCAGCACGGAACCTACTTTGAATCCTCTGTCTCCCTCTCTCTGCCCCTCCCTGGCTCACATGCTCGCTTTCTCTCTCTCTCAAAAATAAATACACATTAAAAAAAGAATGGTTTCCAAAAAAACCCACAGAAAATAAAAATTTATGTATGGGTAGTGAATTAATTTGTTGGGCTTCCCAAATAAAATGGTGAAAGGCAGAGGTGCCTGGGTGGCTTAGTCAGTTGAGTGTCCAACTCTTGATTTCAGCTCAGGTCATGATCTCACGGTTGTGGGATCAAGCCATGCATGAGCACTCCATGCTCAGCATGGAGTCTGCTTGACATTTTCTTTCTCTCCCTCTGCACCTCTCCCCCACTTGTGTGCTCTCTCTCTAAAAAAACAAACAAAAAAACCCCTGAAAATATCAATCAATAAAGTGTAAAATTAAAAAATGGTGAAAGGGGATAATCTGGGACTAATTCAGAGGAACAGAGAACTGAATTAGGTCTAGAAGTAAGTGTCTAACATGAGAGTCAGAGAGGAGAGGAGCGACAGAGACGAAGAGCAGGCAGACCAGCTAGTTGCAAAGCCATGAGGTGGGAGACGGATGAGTCGGGGTGGAAGGGAAGAAACACACCCTGAAGTTCAGTCATCGGGCAACAAACAACTTCTTGGCTGAAGCAGACTTGTATCACATACATTATACAATAAGGCCACACAGGCATGTCCACTTGGGAAGCTGGGAACACTGGAGCCTGTGTTTCACTGAAACTGGGTTTGACTCAAGTGGAAAAGTTAATGGTTAAAAATGTTCACAGAGGGGGCACCTGGGTGGCTCAGTCTGTTAAGTGTCCGACTCTTGATCTCGGCTCAAGTCATGATTTCACGGTTCGTGAGATCAGGCCCCACACTGGGCTCTGCACTGACATGGAAGAAAACCCTGCTTGGGATTCTCTTTCTTCCTCTCTCTCTGCCCCTCCACCATGCTCATGCTCTTTCTCTCAAAAAAATAAACATTTAACAACAACACCACAAATGTACAGATAAAGAATGCAGATAGCCAGAAATTTGTGTCAACCGTTGAAAAACTGACCTGATGGCTTCTTACTGGCTTTTTATGCTAAATAATTATTGGCTTTTTCTGTGCTCTTTCCATTATTAGGAACCATATTTACCACTTCAAAAGTGAACTGGCTACCAAATTAACAAGTGTAGGGTAGAATATCTCTCTGGTATTGGCGTGCATTTGGAATCCTGTGACTAATTTTCAAAGGAATTTTAAGATGTCTCCAGGAAAGTAAAGGTTATGTGTAATCTTGCGGGTTAAGAATGGTTATAGATCAGAAACACTGAAATATTACCTGCTGGATAAGAAGGCTCTCCCTCACCTCTCAAAGTAATCCTCTAGAAACAATCACCACCACCACCAAAAGAGACTGTATCTAAATTCTGACACCATTTCATAAGGCCCATATATGTACCAACTACAGCTACCCCAGAACCTGTTTCCCCCTACCTGGGAAGGAGGGGAGGTGGAGAAAGAGGTGGTACACACTTCTTGAGAATCTTCCACAGAAGGATATGTTCCTCCAGTGTCCTCACCAGCAGTTCTATGACAGGGGGGAAATAAATCATGAATTTTATTGTGATGGCAGTTGATTGCGGAAAGGATACAAAGGGAGGTTAGATATGGATGCAATAGTGACAAGAACTGTTTCAGGCGGAGCTCACTCTGGCAAGAGAGACCATAATGTTGAGTCCTTGATAATTTCAAATATTTAGAGGTTGACCAAGCTTTTTATTTTTAACCCAAACACCTTACCTGACATATCATTTGAGAATATTTTCTTAAGCCTGACCAGTGTGGGGCCAAAGAATTATTAGCAACAGAGATGCAGTGAAACAAAAGTCTAGACTCAAAAGACAAACTTATCCAACTTCAAGAGTCCTTCACATAAAGGCAGTATCCTTCCTGATACACAACTGTTCCAACCTCTATAGAATTCTGTTTTCTGGGATGTAGGCCTGAAGAATTTGATTCTAATGTATAACTGAACGGTGCCAATGATGACCAGGAAACCATTTAATTTGTGAAGGATATTCTGTTAATTACTGCCACTTTTGTAGTCTCTAAGGAAAATCAAATTGAAAGTCAAATCACTGCCATCAAAATCCAAAATGTCCAAGAATTTTTCTGAGATAGTCTGTATATTCCAAGTCTTGATGTGCCTTACAGGTAGCAGCAAGAAGGGAAGCTAACCGCTCCATTTCTCTCCATGTGGGGTTTCCATCACTGCCTCTGCCCACTAATGAATGCTGATGAAGGTGCGCTATGTACCTGCAAGACGAATACTTCTCCCTAGCTGCAGTTTGGGAAAGTACCTTTCACATTCCTCACCTGTAATTGCAGGGGTGCATAGGTGAGGAGCTGGGATACGGACGGTCCACAAAGTGATCAATGATAATCCCCATGATAGGTGGGGTCCTCTCAAATTGCCTGTAATGCAATAAGGAGATCACAATATTTGTTAGAATGCCTTGCCAGCCCCCCTGAAGTTTTCAGAGGACCCCTCACCTTATAACTATAGGTAGGAACCATCAGAGCCTTACCTATTGTATCCCTAAATATAAACCACAACTCTACATTAGTGGCTCTGACACGCTCAGATTCTCCAATCTGGAACCTGGGCTCTCTCTCGATTTTATTCTTCAGAAGGGGACTGATTTCAGCAATGGCAAAGCTGAACTGTAGGCTTAGCCATGGAGTTTGGGGGAAAAACAAACTTTAATATCTTTAACATCTTTGGAAGACTCCTTTGGGTTCCAAGGCTCTTTCCTCACCTGGTAGACATAAATGCCAAGTTAATTCTGTAAGCACAAGAAAGAGTGATGGTGCCCACAGGGGTGCCTACTGTCCCAACACGCACTGTCTGGAAACCTGGGAGAAGAAAGAAATAATTAGCTTTTCGCCAGAGAATACTGACACTGTCCCCAGTTTGTCTTTCCCTGAATCATTCAGCCTATCATACAATCTCTGGCATTATCTACTTAGTATCATGAGTGCAGCTGCCTCAATTTCTCATATATATTTTTTCTTTTGATTTGTTGACCTAATATTGGAAGGGAAAACAGCATTCTATTTATAGATAAACCTACCTTCAAAGAGACAAAACAACTGTTTGTCCTAAAGTTTGAGCAAATCCTAACCAACCTGGCCCAAATATGTCATGTGCCCAGTGAGACAGTAAAGGGCCCTCAGGGTTTGTCACACAAACACCTTAGTTTACGTAGGTGCAGAAGTAACTGCACTTCTATTCATGTTCCCATCCAGAACTAAGTACAGAAAAGAGGTGGGGACTTGCAGGCAATACTTCCAACAAAGCTTTCTGGTTTTCTTGGTTTCATTTCCAGTTTTTCAAAATTGCTTATGCTCATCAGAAACATGTAACATGCTTATAGAAAATTAGGAAAACAGACAATAGCATAAAGAGTAAGAAAGAATACTGAGTTACTAGAACTTGGGGGAAAATCATTCATTCATTCCCTGGCAACTCTTTGGACTACTTACATGTTTTTTCCTTACTCATATCACACATACTAAAATCACAAGCTACGTATTATTAGAGGCAGCATCCAAACCCATCTCTGAAGTCAGGAGGGCTCTGAACACTACAAGTGTTTTTCACCCTTGATACATACCTTCTCCTAAACCATTCAGCTGAACTTCCCCAAAATATATCCTTAGGAAAGAAAGAAAAGGAAATGATTCTTTATTCTAAGGGCCTCTATAGCCCGAACACCTAGAAACAAAACAAACAGAACAAACCCTCCTTTTCTTGTTTTCACGAACACCTCTCTTTTTTTTTTTTTTTTTAATTTTTTTTTTTTTTTTTTTTTTTTTAACGTTTATTTTATTTTTGGGACAGAGAGAGACAGAGCATGAACGGGGGAGGGGCAGAGAGAGAGGGAGACACAGAATCGGAAACAGGCTCCAGGCTCCGAGCCATCAGCCCAGAGCCTGACGCGGGGCTCGAACTCACGGACCGCGAGATCGTGACCTGGCTGAAGTCGGACGCTTAACCGACTGCGCCACCCAGGCGCCCCACGAACACCTCTCTTAATGGAGCAATAATATTACTGTTTCAATAAAGCTGCAGGCATAGGAATGTAAACGGAAAGAACTGGTTAAGAAATGAGGAAAATAGGGGCGCCTGGGTGTCTCAGTCAGTTAAGCATTTGACTTCAGCTCAGGTCATGATCTCACAGCTCCGCTCGTGGGTTCAAGCCCTGTGTTGGGCTCTGTGCTGACAGCTCAGAGCTTGGATCCTTCTTCAGATTCTCTGTCTCCGTCTCTCTCTGCGCCCTCTCCTGCTTGTGCTCTGTCTCTCTCTCAAAAATAAATAAATATTTAAAAAAAAGAAATGAGGAAAATAATAAATTGAGTCTGCAATTTCAGTTTCTTCTTCCTGTTCCTGCAATGTACTTTTTAAAAAATTTTAAAGTGTTGGGGCGCCTGGGTGGCTCAGTCGGTTGAGTGTCTGACTTCCACTAGGGTCATGATCTCACTGTTCGTGAGTTCGAGCCCCGCATCAGGCTCTGAGCTAAGCGCTCAGAGCCTGGAGCCTGCTTTGTATTCTGTGTCTCCCTCTCTCTCTGCTCCTCCCCTGCTCACACGCTGTCTCTCTCTCAAAAATAAATAAAGATTAAAAAAAATTTTTTTTTTAATTTTAAAGTGTTTATTTTATTTTTGAGAGAGTGACAGAGCATGAGCAGAGATCTCACTCACAGATGTGAGATCATGACCTGAGCTGAAGTCGGATGCTTAACCAACTAAGCCACCCAGGCTCCCTTCCTGCCATGTGTTTTTAAAGTATAACTACTGGGAAATAAATACTATAGAAATAAGGTTGGCAAATAGATCTGGAACTACTATTAGAAAGTACTAGACTTTTTTTTTTTTTTTTAGGTATGTTCAACATACAAAATTATATTAGTATCAGATGTAAATATAATGATTAAATATTTAGTTACATTACAAATTATCACAGTAAGTCTAGTTAATATCCATCACCATACAGACAGAAGCTTTTTTCCTTGTGATGAGAACACTGAAGATCTCCTTTCTTAGCAACTTTCAAATATGCAATAGAAGGTACCAGATTTTGAAGAGTGGTCTTCAATTAATGGGAGTTCTCCATGCTTGTCACAAGTCATTCCAAAGTGAACACACTAGAACACCATGGGGTGCCTGGGTGGCTCAGTCGGTTAAGTGTCCGACCCTTGATTTCAGCTCAGGCTGTGATCTCATGGTTGGTAGTCCAGGCCTCGCACTGGGCTCTGTATTGTCAGTGCTTCAGATTTTCTGTCCTCCTTTCACTCTGCCCTTCCCCAGCTCACACAATCTCTCTCTCTCTCTCTCAAAAATAAATAAACTTAAAAAAATTAGGAAATCTTTTCCACTGTAGAATAATTACATAAGACTATTCTGAAAATATAAAGATAGAAGCAAAGCAGAACCTTTCTTTGAATTGCCCTGGGAAGGCCTATCTATATTAGCTAAAAGTCTGAGCTATAAAACATTACAAACTATACTACATAACATTATATTTTTCAAGTAATGTTAACAATTAAACACAGACATGGCAGTTTGTTCAATTAAACGCTAAGCTCTAACAATGTATAAAGCCCTATGGTTAGGTGTTAGGCATGAGATAAGGAGAATGTAGGGATGAGATTCAGGATAAATCTGAAGCCTAGGACTCACAAATTATAATCTGGAATGGGAGAAAAGAAATGTATATAAATATCTGAAATACATGCACCAAAGTGACAGATACCATAAAACAGGGGTCAGCAAACTTTCGTTAAAAGGATCATATATTTTAGGCTTGTGGGCCATATAGTCTGAAGCAGACTACTCAGCTTTGCTGTTGTCCTGCAAAAGTAGCCACTGATAATACACAAATGAAAGGGGTGGCTGGGTTCTAAAATAACTTTTATTTTGCAGTACCTGGCTGGCTCAGGTGAATCTTGGGGTCATGAGTTCGAGCCCCATATTGAGTCTTTTGTAGAGATTATTAAAAAAAAAAAAAAAAAAAAAAAACTTAAAAAAAAATAAAATAACTTTATCTATAAAAACAAACAGATGGTCTGCCGCATGTCCCAACACAGTTTGCTGATTCTCTGCCATAATACGCAAGAATATGTATGTCAATGAATGCGTAAACATATTTTGCTAGTAACCTTCTAATAAAAAAATATTCAGTACCCATTTGGGGTCACCTGGCTGGTTCAGTCAGTTAAGCATCTGATTCTTGATTTTGGCTCAGGTCACGAGCTCACTGTTGTGGGGTCACGCCCTATGTCAGCTCCGCTGCTGGGCATGGAGGCTGCTTGGAATTCTTTCTCTCCCTCTCCCTTAGCCCCTCCCTGCCTGTGTTCTGGCTCTCTCAAAAACAAAACAAAACAAAATAAAACAAACCCTAAAAAAAACCACACACACACATACACACACACACCCCAAAAAAATCTCAATACCCATCTGAATATTGGGTACAGTGTTCTAAGTAACCTAATTATCTAACCTTTTTCTTGACTATATATTTCTTAATGTTTATTTATTGGGGGGGGGGGCAGAGAGGCACCAACTGAGCCACCCAGATGCCCCTATTATTTTTTTCTTTCTTTTTTTTTAAATTTTTTTTTTATTATGTTTCTTTATTTTTGAGAGGCAGAGAGAGACAGAGCATGAGTAGGGGAGGAGCAGAGAGAGAGAGACACACAGAATCTGAAGCAGGCTCCAGGCTCTGAGCTGTCAGCCCAGAGCCCAACGCGGGGCTCAAACCCACGAACTGTGAGATTGTGACCTGAGCTGAAGTCGGGACATTCAACCGACTGAGCCACCCAGGCGCCCCCCTATTATTTTTTAATGTTTATTTATTTTTGAGAGAGAGAGAGCACGCATGTACACACACATGCGTGTACACACACACACACATACACACACGCACGGGCAAGAGAGAATCACAAGCAGGTTCCACTCCACACTCAGCACAGCACAGAGTGTGGGGCTCAATCTCACAACCTCAAGATCACAACCTGAGCTGGTATCACCAGTCAGATGCTTAACTGACTGAGCCACCCAGATGCCCCTTGGCTATATTCTTTATACCATTCAGATGCTGAGCAAAAATTTTTTTTAAACAGATAGTAGACAATAATTTATTTTAATTCAGTCTTGATGAACAACAAATTCAGAATGAATTCTTATAATGTTGTAATTCTACACTGACATGATCAAATCTGTAGGGCCAGGGAAAAAATGATAATATAGCTTAAAATAAAGAGAAGGCTATTATTCTTTAATGATATAAGACTATACTGTCACCCTGTGTTTTTTTTTTTAATTCTTTTTATGTTTATTTATTTTTGAGAGAGAGACAGAGCACGAGCAGAGGAGGGGCAGAGAGAGAGGGAGACACAGAATCTGAAGCAACTCCAGGCTCTGAGCTGTCAGCAGAGCCTGACGCGGAGCTCAAACTCATGGACAGTGAGATCATGACCTGAGCTGAAATTGGACACTTAACTGACTGAGCCACCCAGGTGCCCCTACCCTGTTAAAAACAGTATAAAAAGGGAGAAAAAAATAGACAATTCTACATCTGAGACCACCCATTTCTCTATGGTTTAAACTATAGTTATCAGTATCCAAATGCACTCATAAATGATAAACTGTAAGCAATAAATACTGTATTACTGCAGAGACACAGACTAAAGGAAGACTTTAAACACTGGTAATGAAAAGGACTAGGAGTCCTAGTTAACTAAGCTGGTAACTAGTAGTGTAGTATGGCTACTTACAAAAGAACCAAAGTGAAGAGGGCTTATCATAAGAGTTAGAAAGTGATCCGTTATATTTGACTAAAAGTCCAGTAATTTTCAAATGGAATACTCAACCTGAAACTTGGGAAGACTACAGAGAAGACAACAAAAATATTTTAAAGATGTTAAAACATTAACATCTTTAAGATGCTAGATTGTTAGATGTAAGATTGCTAGATTACTGCTAAGAAAATTACAGAATGACTTGATAACTATTCTCAGGTAGTAAATTGTTTCAACGTAACTAGTTAAGTCTCTAATCCTTAGTCCTTCCATCCTGCTATACTAATTTCCCCTCACAATCAGCTCTATACATATAAGCCAAAGGCTTACAAATGGCTCATTACTAATATGCCAAAAGAATCTTGGGTGATTTGGGAACTCCTGGCTTTCCATGCTCTGCTCTCACACTTTCCTACTTATCCGTTTTACCACCACTCAGGTCCATCTGACAACCTGAGCACAGCTCAGATCCCATCCCCCACTTCTATGCCTTGCTATCTTTTGCACTCCTTACCTGGAATGATCATTCTCTCTCAGTTCTACCAGCTGAAATTCTCTCTGCTTCAAGGTCTAGCTTGAATGCCACTTTCTCCAGGAAGCCTGTCTGGTTTCTCCCACCTGGAACAAACTTTCCCTCCTTGTGTTCTCCTAGTACTTTTTTCCTGATACTGCTATGTAGTTTTCCAATCTTGCTTTTTATTAAAAAGTTGTTTCCCCATTAGATTAGAAACACCTATAGGGCAGGGCATCTGTATAGTTCTTCCTTGGGCCTAGCACAATGCTTGCATTAAAAAGGCACTCAATAAATATGTGTTGAGGTGAACTACCAAGGGAAATACTCTCAGAACTATTGATGAGTTCTTTATATCCACAGACAACTAATTAAAAACAAATTGAAAAAAACCAAATTGAATTGGCAGGCTGTAAGACAAAATTTAATTTAATTCCGAAATGTAGAAGGCTGTGGAATCTTCCCAGGATAGCCTGTTTTAAAGTCTTAAGCTCCTTTTTCAGCTTTGAGATGTGCATCAGTAGAACCGCAAAATCTACTCCACAGGACTCATGACTGTGCACAGACAAAAGGGCCAAGAACCTGGTAGCTTCAGAAAACGGAGCTTCACAAAAGAGGAGGGATAGATAATCATAGTAAAGCTATAGCATCAACTATCCAAGAAACCACCTATTCAAAATTAATCACAGAACACCCATATGCTGGTCAGACAATATGCAAAGTGACAAAGCTAATGAGTGAATCGAGAAGGTGAGCAGCTACGTTGTTTACCTGTACAATATGACATATTCATGCCCCTGTTTTCTGGAGAGTCTGTAAGCCGGTGTGACCCTAGTTATGGCAAGGAGGGACTTCAGCAGCAGTGACAGTCTGTTGTACACCGTGTAGGAAACTTTAATCTCTTTATCACACCTGAGAAACACACAGACACTATCAGCATTCACCCATTCAACTAACATAAAACCAAGAAATGCACAGACACAGAGGTGTTAGTTATGTTCTGTCTAGTGACTGAGATTAACCTGCTAGTATTATGCATAAATTCTGACAGAATATAACCTGCTTTGCAGTCCAAATACACCTTTCACAGAAGATTACAGTCAACAAAGACAATTGCAAATTAAGCATGGGAACTGTGTAAGATGAAATTTATCATTAAAATATGTTCTGAACTAAAAGTGCAATTAGAGTTCTATCAGTTTATCAACAGATTATTGATGTAAGCAAAAGTTTTTACTTTCTCATACTCTAGAACTAGGCAGATAGACCTCAAAAGGCACCTACTGTACTTCTTTCTCGATTTGAAGCAGTTATCTAAGAAATAAAGCTACAGACTTAAAAAAAGTAATTCAACACTGCAATTATACTATTGAAGGTGCAAACAATTTCAATATGCTATCTTATGAGCTATCTACCTCTATGCATCTAATAGGAATCTGGAGAAAAGTGTGTTTGGTATTAAAATTTTGGACTATAACCTGTCAACTGCTTTCTATTTAAGAAAGAAAAATAATGCCCACACCCCACATACTTATTAAGATTTTTCTTTTGATGTGTTGCCATTTCCTCAATTTTCCTATATACTGTTCTAGAAAACTAAAGCTTCAGGCAGGAAGCAAGCTGATCTTCCTTGAAAGAAGAAAATGGAAAAGGAAAAGAACAGGCATTTCCAATCCATGACCAACACAGGGTGTAAAAAAGGAGTAGGGAAGGGAAATCTGCCACACAGAAAAAAAGACAAAACAGAGCAGTCATGTTACAAGAGTTCGCAAGGGATTTAATCAGAGAACTAGCTGTACTCTGGGAAAACAACAAATCTTTTTGAGCCTTTGCTCTGCTCCTTTCCCTGTGGTGTCTGAGTCTGGCCGGACTGACCTCCCTCTGAAGGTCATCTCTGTGCCTGGGCTGGAAGCCAAGCATGAGGCAAACTGTAGCAAAGAGCTATTGGCTTTGTTAAGTGGGAAGAACACCCTCCACAACTGATAACAAAGCCCTGCTTTTCACATGATGTCATCTGTTTTATTCTCGGCTACCGCAACCACGGACCCTAAAACAGAGTACTTACTTTTCATTCATTTCAAGACACCAAATTTCTAGCTCCATGGAATCGCCCTGTGGATGGGACAATTGAAAGATATTTCAGTTTTATTTGGTTTTTTAAAATTATTTACTCTTATTACAAAGCACTATATAGTCACTATAAAAATGTGGAAAATATAAATAAAGCAAAAAAAAAATCAATTTACAATCTAATCAGCTACTTTAATAAATGATGTGAGGGGCTCCTGGCTGGCTCAGTTGGAAGAGCATGTAGCTCTTGATCTTGGGTGTAGAAATTACTTAAACAAATAAACTTAAAAAAATAATGTGAGATTATACTATATATGCTATTTTTATCATTTTTATTAATAAATGTAACATGAAATGTCCCTATAATTAAAAGTTCCACACCATTTTTAATGGCTGCATAGTATTCCACCATATGACCATCATTTTATCAAATCAGTCCCCCTGTACGTGGACATATAAGTTATTTCTAATTTTTTACTATTACAGACAAAACTGTGATAAATATCCTTGAGACTAAAACTTTGTCCTCACCCTGTATTAGTTTCTTAAGGCAAATTTTCAGAATTAGCGCTGTTAAAGAGTATTCTTTTTTTTGTTTTTAATGTTTACTTATTTTGAGAGAGGGAGGGTGAGCAGGGGAGGAGCAGAGAGAAAGAGAGAGAGAATCCCAAGTAGGCTTCTTGTTACCAGTGTACAGCCTGATGCAGGGTTTGATCCCTGAACTGTGAGATCATGATACGAGCCAAAATCAAGAGTTGGACACTCAACCAACTAAGCCACCCAGGTGCCCCAAGAGTATTTATGCTTCTAAGACTTTTGTTATGTATATCCAAATTGCTCTTCAGAAAGGCCAATACTTCAAATGATGGAGACAGCCTTTCCCTCCAATTCTACAGGGGATATTTTTAGGTGACACCCACAGTTAAGGAATACCTTAACAAGCTGCTTGCTTAAAAATCTTTTTAGCTGTGTAATGTCTTCAGCCAAACTGTTCAGTCTTTCTCTGGTACTCTGAACAGACTTAGCCTAGTGGGTGGGAAAGAAAAACAGACTAAAGCCAGAATCCCTCAACCCTGTAACACTCTTGTGTGCCACTCAGTGAGAAGAATAGTCACACACTTTTGAAGACAAGTAACCTTATTACCAATCAACTGGAAGAGAGCTATTCTTTTAGGTTTGGGAGTAAGCTTAGGTTAGTTTGTGGAATAGCGAACTTGTTCTAGATCAAACTGAAATATGTACCCTTAATATATCCTTTTCATCATACTGTCATTTTTAAATGACATGATAAATTTTGAATTCCCCTGCTCCCCAAAATCAAGGGATGGCTAACTAGTCGGAAGTATCCAAAACAAGTTGATGCAGTTTGTCTAGGATGATCAGAACATTTTATACTCAGATTGTACCCGGGAAAGGAAAATAATTCTTCTAGAGATTCCTTTAGGACTCACTATGGATCACTAAGGAAAATAATTCATAGTACAAACTGGCAATTCAACGAAGAATAGGAAGTTTTGTTTTTGTGGGGTGCTAAAGTTTCCATGGAATAAGTATTAACATCATTCATTCAACAAAATTCATGGAGAGGCTACTATGGGCCATCCCAGGCACTGTGCTAGGCATACGTAAGAGATGATTTAGTTACATCCTGCTTCATTTCAAAAAGAATTTAAGGGCTACCTGGGTGGCTCAGTCAGTTAAGTGTCCGACTTCAACTCAGAT